AACCAGTTATTAAGAGTAATTGATGACACATCTAGGGCTCACAACATTTCATTTAAAGAAAAATGACGAAATTTGGTTGAGTAGAGAGGTTATATTCTAAACGAAAGCCCTGTGTGTTTTAGTTATTTAGATAGATTTTTTAAATTTCTTCTCTTCATTCTCTCCATTATTTTCTTTTCCTTTCGGCTATCTTCACAACCGGACGGTGGCGCTTGCTTCAATCGACTCAACGAGAAACTGCGCGCCACGTTTGCGCAGCTTCTAATAGGGTGGGAAGTGTTAGGGGTATTTTTCTAGGAGTAGCTACAATCGGTTAAGTAATTTGGAGAGAATTTTATTTTTCAGTTTTTATTGCTTTTATAATAATATTGTTATTGCTATAATGTAATGTTCTCCAACGTTTTGCATTATATTAACTTCGATTTCCAACAACAATAACCCTAGTAACCGCGACAACATTTATTTTAATAATTCGGGTTTTTCGGCTGCATTTAAATTATACAAATTCCGCTTGTCCATAATCATGTGAAGAGGGACACACTGGTAATTCAAGGCAAGTGCACATATATTTCACGAATTTACTTTAGATATTTACAGTAACTGCCTTTAGGAACCTCTATACAAAGTTTCTCTCTCTATAGGGGGGGGGTGTTATTGCACGAGTGGTATGTTCAAGAAAACGAGAGATGATATGAGATCGTTTTCTTATTTACCACGAGTGATACCCTTCCATCCACGCTTTACGTTTAGCACTTCTTCGTTTCCATTTAAGAATAATTTAAATTTTGAGAAATTCAAGCCCATCTTTACCTTTTGAGGCATACAACTGATGTCTGATACTGCTTCTGAAAGAGGCATGTTTTAATGGATCTTGCGTTATGTTTTTATGATCACCATGGTGGATACTTAGAGGATACTTAGATGATAATGAACTGTTTCCTAAAGGAAGGTATTGATCATATTCTGGATGAAATATTAGAAGAAGCTGACAAAGCCATGGAAGCATTTCTTCCCACAAAACGTTAAGACAAGTGTGACAGAGAATATAAGATGTATAAAGATTGTAACACATTGTATTACATGTAAAACATTTAATTTATTCGTGTTAAATATTTTGTTGTTCCATTATTCAGCTAGTGACAAACCAGTGATTACTTCCTCAATTTTGTTTCATTCATGCGTTGCTTATATGTAGTTGATGTAGTACGTAATATCTTATTATTTTTGTTCACGTTTCATGGCTGATATCTTGGACATGTGTGTAATAGTGAAAAATTATTTAACGACTTTGATATTTTTCTTAATTCTGAATGGCAGATTGTGGAGTTTTAATTGAGCATTACCATAGTGAAAATTAGAGACCGGGTTTTTATGTAATTACAGACTTTTTTTCTTTCAAATTACTGTTCTCAAATTTGTAATCTTGGCGAATAGTCGCCATCCTAATATAATATCTATTTTTTCGTTACATTATTTTTTTCATATTTGGTACTATATTACATATTTTACCTATTTTGGTATTTTCACAAGATATTATTTTATTCTATCAAGTATCTTCAATTTTATTACATAATTCTTTTCATAAGACTTTGTTGTTTTTTCAAGCATTTTTCCTCTATATTATTACCGCGTGCTGTCTACTCCACTTGCACTGTGCGAAGATGCGACACATTCTCGAAGTCCGGCGCGCCTGCTTCAGTTATCTCAGTAGTGAGAAGTGCTAGTCTGCGATTGAGATTATTTTCACCTTTAGTTGTGAAAAGTATCACTGACACGCGTGACCTTTAGCCTCAATTTCTGAGAAACATGTGTGATCGCCGACGTTTAACACTTTAATGATAGTGCTTCACGGAACAGCCATTAGGGAGTTCGTTCACGCCATAACCGACTCTCTATCGACGAATACTATCTATCTTCTGCGTATGCGCAGATGCACTAAAGTGATGCGAAACTGATGGTGCTTGAACGTCTGTGGGTGAACTATTCTGTATTGTGTGTCTGGTCTGTATTGTTTGCTGGTCGTAGATATCACCGTTTGTAAGAAATCTTCTATTGGGCCTAATCGGACTTAAAAGTTACGGTCCTAGAGAGCAATAGATGACGATTTACTTCTGACGGGAAAGTTTTAAGGTGCATACTGTGTATCAACTTGCGCTCTCCAAATAATTTTAAGGTGTTTGTATTATTTTTAAAATTTGTTCAGGAAATTGTTTATTTATATGAAATTTTGTATTATGTATTCTTTCTAATTAATGAATTTTATTATTACAAATTATATCCCATTTTACATATTTATTACATACTAACGGAACGCGGCAATCGTTGTTCTGCTTTCATCACCCTCTCTTTCTGCGTCCCTCCCTCTCTCTTCGTATATCCTTCTCATCGTTTCTCTCTCCATCTCCCGTTCCCTCTGTCTTTCTCTGTCCCCCTCTCCCTGTCCCCCTCTCCCTGTCCCCCTCTCCATGTCCCCCTCTCCATGTCCCCCTCTCCCTGTCC